CCGAAAGTATTTAAAATATTAAATAGGGATAAAGAAATTTTTGAACAGGAGCAAACTGGATGATTTATTTCATGGAAAATATATATATAGATACACACTGTTTATACATGGATACACTCTCACACTTTATTTTACAAAGAGATTATGTACTGAAAGAAATCACAAAAGAAAGCACACTAAAATCTTATGGCAGAGAACTGAAATACTTGATGACTCTTGGCTCTAAAACTTGATGATCTTTGCTTGAGTAGAAAGGCTCATTTTATAGAAGAGGAGAGGGATGAGTCTTCAGCTAAGCTTGAAGATGCTGCATAGATCGTTGAGATTTAAGATACTTTAGAGATAAGATGGCTTGAATTATTGCTGAACTATTGATGTCGACTTCTGTGGAATTTTATCTACTTTTACTATTGAGAATCTGCTTTTGGTGGATTTGCTTTTATTTGTGAACTGTTGCGAATCTACTTTTCTTGGATGCTGAAGCTGCCATTATCTATACACTGTGGCGAATTTTCTTTTCCTTAGATACTTTTAGAATTCTTATATATTGGATAAATTTCTGTCGGTAGTGCTATCTGTTGGGCTGTCATTTCTTTCTCTTTCATGCATGCGGGCCAAATATGCATCAGTGCTGTCTGGTGAGCTAGTTTATTCATTTCTGTAGGCAAGATCAACCTGTTCCAACAACATCTTTTCTTCATTTATTATTTCTTCAACTTCTGGAGATATCTCAATCTTTGGAGGAGACTTAATAACATGAGGAATTCTTGCTTTGACAAAAATTTCCATGTTGATATTATGATCGTAGAGTTTGAAACCAGGATTATAGCTTGGGTTAACTTGAAGATAGGCTTTATAGTATAACAAATGGTTAAAGGTAACTGGTTCTATCTCATTACAAAAGTTATTTACAAAATCAATATGTTGGGTAAGAACTTTGACTTCTGTGGGATCAGAATGAATGTAAATTCGATGTTGTCCTAGAATTGTTACTCCATATTTTACACATTCTGGGGAAGTACTGTGGATTTGAAGAGGAATTGGACTTTCTGGCATGAAATTTTGGGTTAGCTTTTGTTCAAAGGCAATGGCTTGATTTAAACGGTTGGGTGGTATGTCTTTTGGTATGGTGATGTTGTAGATCATTCCTAATTCTAACAGCTTGCTTAAGTAGCAGATGGTAGTTTTTGTAGAGAAAATGATTTTTCTGGTTATTTCAAAAGGATAGAAGAAAATAATGTCTACGTTTAACAAGATAATGGCCATAGGTATGAGGTTGCCTGTTTGTATAAATCATAAGAAAAAATAGTTATAACGGGTTCCTTTAGGTGGGCTATTATTTCTAAGATAGTTTTGGATATCAACCCATTCCTTGAAACCATCACACTTGCCTTCTTCAAGGATAAGATCTTTGAGATCATCAAGAAAAAGTTCAACTTGTTGTCTCAGGATTTCTCTGTAGGTTGGAGAGAAAAGGGGTAATAACTTGGCATACTTGGTTTATATATACAGAAATTGAACTTTCTGAAGATTTTCATCTTCATCAATCCTTTGCTCAGAAATAATTAGTTGTGTGAGGTTTTCTGTCATTTTTTGATATGCCAGATTCAACTTTTTATAATGAGATATAAGCGTCTCATGTTCTTGCTGTAAATTCTTATATGCTTTATTAGATGATACAAAATATTCACTTAAAATATTTAGATTTCTGACGAAGGTTCTATCGGGGTTGTTTCTAGAAAACCAAATATTATCTAAAATAAGTTTTTGGTCAGAAAAAAGATTATGTCTAGCATGGAACTATTGAGCTGGGTTTTGGATAATCAAAAGAGGATTAGAAGTGTCTGGTATAAGGCTATAACTGTTGTTGCTCTTTGTTTCCATTCCTGCAAAAATTAACAATCAATTAGTAAATGAGATAGAATATCTGCTAAATATTTGTCTTTTTCTTTGACATGTTCAAATATGGGTTTAAAACCTCTTCCAGTAATACAATCAATAAAAGAAATCCATCTTTTTGTAGACATCCACTATTGTTTTGCATTGTTTGCAAATTTAATTATATTATCACAATCTGTTCTTATAAGAAATTTTTTATCAAGGAATATCTGGAATTTTTCTATAGAATTGGTTACTCCTAGAATTTCTAGATCTGTTGAAGGTAAAGTAGATTGTGCTTTATTAAAAGTTCCGCCATCATGGCGATAAATTTGTTCTTCATCTCGAGAAGATTCTTTTGTAGGTCTTTGAAGAAGAAAACCTACCCATCCTTGACCTGATGCATTTGTCTGGATTATTTTATAACTATTTTCAAGTGGGAGTTGTAAAGTAACTGGCTGAGTGACCAAATATTTAATTTTCTTTACTAATTCTATGTCTTGAGTATTAAAATATTTTTGTCCATGTTTACCAAATTTTGAATACAAGGGTCCTACTAACTGTCCTAATTTAGAAATAAAATTGCGACCATAATATAATAATCCTAAAAATGCTTTTAGTAATTTAGTTTCTTCTAATTTATCTGAAAATTCTAAAATCTTCTTAACAATATGTGATTGTAGTTCTACTTTTCCATCCTTAATGTACAAGTCTAAAAATTCAATGTCTTGTTTTTTTAATATCATCTTTTTACTACTTATATGAGTCCTGATGTTATAAATTTGTTGAATATAAGTTCAAGATATTTTTTATGCTCTTCTTTAGTTTGACTGAAGACTAGAATATCGTCTATGTAAACACAATAAAATTTTGAATGTTTATTGAATATAGTATCCATTTTTCTTTGGAACTCCAGTGGTGCATTTTTTAATCCAAAAGGCATAACAAACCACTCATAATGTCACCCAGGACATGCAAATACAGTACATTCAATAGATTCGTCAGCCATACAGATTTGCCAAAATCCTGACTTACAGTCAAATTTAAAAAACCATTTTCTATCTTGTATTCAATTTATTAAAACATCTTTATTAGGAATTTTGTAACTGTCATCGTAGGTATCATCATTTAATCTTTTATAATTTATAACCATACGAGTTTTTCCTCCTTTTATTTCGGCATGATTTCTAACCATAAATACTGGACTCCTATATATACTATTGCTTTTTTTTATTACTTTTAGCGATAAAAGTTCTTTAATTTGTTTTTGGAATTCTTCCTAATCATCTAAGGTATGAGGATTATCTTGTGTTTTTATAGTGATAAAAGGATTTATTATATTTAATATGGCTTCGATTTTATTTTTAAACCAGTGTTTCTGGGGATCATCTCCTAAGATTTCAGTGGTTTCAACTAATCTTATAAGATCATCAATGTTTAATTTGGAATTTTTTAATAAAACTTATTATTAAGTAAAATCTTAGGTTCATCTAAATGACTAAGGCCCTGTTTGGATTGGCTTTTCAAACGTTGCTTTTGGCTTTCTAGGCTTAGAAGCTATTATGAAGGGTGTTTGGATAATTTTATAGAAGAGCATTTAGCTCTTAGAAGAGTGTTTTGGAGAAGCAGGGGACCCCCAGCTTTGGCAAAACACTCTTCTAGATACACACGGGAAGCCACTAAAGGGTTTATTGAAAGCGTACCCTTTTCTTTTAGGCATTGAGAAAATAAAATTACAACGTCTGTCATTATAAAAGATATCGTATTATTTTTAAACCCTAAGGACAACTCAAACGAGGAAGATCGTTACTTTCCTTCTAGACCCTAAGGACAACTCAAACGAGGAAGATCGTCACTTTCCTTCCAAACCCTAAGGACAACTCAAACGACAACTTCTCACTTTAAGGATCTCTTTCGTTTCAGGCAAAGATACGACATCTTTTACTTTGTTGTATATGAATGATTGATTATATTTTGTATGTGAATGTTGGATTGAATGTATGGTGTGAAGTTTGGAGTGACCAAAATTTTGAACTAATTAATCGTACTGTTTTTCTTAACCAATTTTTTTATTTTTGCCCTAATCGATTAAGTGAATGTTGCATTATTAAACCTCCATTTTTGTATTAACAACCATTTTTCCATGATATATGGATGCATATACATATATAACATTATAACATTTGTTATAAATATGTTTTTTATACTGTATTTGACATATTATTATAAGTATGCTGGTTATACTGTGATTGAAATATTGGAAAAAACTTTAATAATAATTAAAAGTATCGAGTACTGTATTCTTTTACTTTGTTGTATATGAATGATTGACTCTACTTTGTATATGAATGTTGGATTGAATATATGGTGTGATGTTTGGAGTTACCAAAATTTTGAACTAATTAATCGTACCGTTTTTCTTAACCCATTTTTTATTTAGGCCTCTAATCGATATGTTGCATCATTAAATAACCATATTTGTATGAACAACCATTTTTCCATGATATATGGATACATATATATATATACAACATTATAACATTTGTTATAACTATGCTTTTTATACTGTGTTTGACATATTGTTATGAGTGTTTGTGATTGAGATATTGGAGAAAACTCTAATAAGAATAATTGTAATCTTTTACTTTATTGTATATGAATGATTGATTCTATTTTGTATATGAATGTTGGATTAAATATATGGTGTGAAGTTTGAAATGACCAAAATTTTGAATTAATTAATCATACTGTTTTTTTTAACCTATTTATTTATTTATTTATTCCCTAATCAATCACGTGCATCATTCATGTATGAATATTGTTGTATGAATACATATACATACATATATGTATGAACACTTAAACAATCATTTTTGTATGAACAACTATTTTTGTATGAACAACCATTTTCCCATGATATATGGATGCATATACAACATTATAACATTTGTTATACCTATGTTTTTTATACTATGTTTGATATATTGTTATTAGTATACTTTTTATATTGGGTTTGAGATATTGGAGAAAACTTTAATAATAATTAAAGTATCTAGCCCAATGCTAATATGTGAGTAATCACCTTTCATTCTTTATTAATTTCTATTCCATTTCTAAATTAGATGGAGGCTGAGAGAGAAAAAGGAAAAACAAAAGCAGAATGGGATTTAACCACACATGCGATTTTTGTTGATCTTGCTGTACAACAAGTGAGAACTAGTAATAGAAATGGAACACACTTGAACAAAGAGGGTTGGAAGAATTTTATTGAGAATTTTAATAAGGCCACCAACAAAAACTATGAAATGAAGCAACTAAAAAAATCATTGGGATAATGTAAGAAAAGATTGGCAGCTCTGGGAGGCATTATTAAGAGGAGAGACTGGAATTGGGTGGGATACTGAAAGACAGACTATAGATGCTTCAAGTGATTGGTGGGAGACAAAGTTACAAGTACGTATAGGTGTATATATTTTTCATTTTTTAATAGTAAATTTAATGGTAATTTTTATTTTCTAACTTCTAAATTAAAAAGTTCAGAAGTTTCCAGATGCGGCCAAATTTCGTGTGAAGGGTCTAGAGCACTCACTTAAGCTAGATGAGTTGTTTCAAGATGTGACCGCCACTGGAGCTAACTCTTGGGCACTTACTTCTGGAACCATGCCTCTTTTGTATAATCAACCACCTACCATGGATGATAATGTTGATGAGGGAGAACATCCTGAAGAAAGTGAACATGAGGAGACAAAATGTAAAAATGATGGGAGAGCCTTAAATCAAAATAAAAAAGTACTCAACAAGAGAAAGAAGCAACTGTCTACGTCTAAAAAGTTATCAAGGCAACTTGATAAACTTTATGAAGCTGTTAAAAACAGGGATTCCTACATACGAATTGGTCCACCTGAATGTTCTATTAAAGAGGTTCTTAATAAACTAAGTACACTTCCAGGTTGTGAAAAGGGGAGTCAACTTTTCAATTTTGGGGTCAACTTCTTCGTAAATCGAGCATATCGTGAGGTGTTTGTAGCTTTGGAGGACCCGGAGAGCCAACTTGCATGGTTGAATGCTCAATATATAAAGTCAAGCAATGCTGATATTTGAGAGTAATGTGTTATCCGTGGGACATGGTTTTTGGGTATTATGATATTGTGTTGTTGTGTTTTAGGTATTTGGGATATGGATTGATAAATGATATTTTTGCTATGTATTAAAAATTTGAGACATGGGTCATGTGATACTAATACGTAGTATTATTGCTATGTACTACTTTTTTTGAACATGGATTGTATGATTTTGATATATGATAATCGCGCTATGTACTAGGTTTTTTTTGGAAATGGATTATGTTATATTGATGTATTATGTATCAAGTTTTTTTGGACATGGATTACGTGATATTGATGTATGATATTCTTGCTATGCACTACTTTGTTTGGATATGGATTATGTGATGTTATTGTATGATATTCTTACTATATGTTTTGATTATTTAATTTTTGTTTTGTTTTTATTTTGTTTTTTTTTTATTTTTTTTTTATTTTTTTTTTTCCAGTTTTGTGATGGAGAATGATAATGATATTGAGAACGACATATATGAGGGGATTTTAGAACGTGTTAAAAGAGATGATATAGAGCTCAATCAAATCATCGTTACAGTATCATGTGTGGCAGTGCATCATCAAAATAGTTTTTTAATGAAAAACCTATGCCGGGACTCCCCTCATACAGGCTGGAAGTTTATAATGGAGATTCTTGATGGACACGACAATCGTTGTCATGAAATGTTTTGCATGGAAAAACATGTCTTTTTAAAATTATGTGATAGATTAAAAAGTTATGGATTAAAATCCACAAGGGGTATACAATTAGAGGAAGCAGTGGGCATGTTCTTAATGACTTTAGGACATGGAGTTGGAAATCGAATGATTCAAGAACGGTTCCAACATTCTGGTGAAACAGTGAGTAGGCAATTTGGTCTTATGCTAGAAAAAATGACTGTCTTGGCATTAGATGAGATTAAACCACTTGAAAATTATGATGAAGTTTCACATTATATACGATCTAACCCGAAATACTGGCCATATTTTAAGGTAATTATTCATATATATATATATATATATATATATATATATATATTTACTTATTAGGAAATTTCATATTTGTTAATGGTTATTGATCATACATGTGTATATATCCATATATATTATATTGACAGGATTGCATTGGAGCCATAGACGGGACACATATTCGTGCATCACTTCCAGTAAATGAGCAAATCCCTTATATTGGTAGGAAGGGATATCTTACTCAAGATATAATGGTTGTATGCGGGTTTGACATGCTATTTACCTTTGTGTGGCCGGGATGGGAGGGAACTGCACATGATATAAAAATATTTTTCAGAGCTTATCGAGACCCAGCTATAAAATTTCTTAAACCACCAAATGATTTTTACAATCTCTTGTTTTTACTAATACTTTATTACTATTATTATAAGAATTTTTATGTATAACAATTTCTCATTATTGGTGAATTTTTATTTTGTAGATAAGTACTACTTGGTTGATGCTGGCTATCTAAACATGAAAGGTTTATTAGCCCCATATAGAGGAGAAAGATACCATCTTCCTGAATTTCAGCGTGGTAGTCAGCCCAGAGGATCTCGAGAAATATTTAATCAAGCACATTCCTCGTTACGAAGTGTTATAGAACGAACTTTTGGTGTGTGGAAGGCAAAATGGAGAATCTTACAAAATATGCCTAATTTTGAGTTTGATAAGCAAGTTGCTATTGTTAGTGCTTCGATGGCTCTCCATAATTTTATAAGGAGGGAGGCTATTGCTAACATAGAATTTCAAACATATGGAAAAGATGATTATGTACTTGACGAGGAAATTGGCGAATCCGATATTTAATTCAGAAGTGATGATAGTACAGAGATGGGTGTTATCCGGGATAGAATTGCTACAGAGCTAATGCTTAGATGAATATTTGGTATTGTTAAATTAATGATGAGATGACTGTTATCCGGAATAGAATTGATACGAAACTCATGATTGGATAAATATTTTGTTAGTTGATGCTATGACATTTTGTATTATTTGATTATATTGAATGGGTTGTTATTTTGTTAGTTGATGCTTAATATAATGTAATATTTTATATACGGCATGAATTATTTGATTATATTGAATGAATTATTTGTATATGTTATATTCGATTATTTGATTATACTGAAATGGTTGTTTATATGTGTTTAGAAAAGAGTTAGATAAAAAATAAAAAATAAAAATAAAATAAAAATAAAAAAACGTTAACTATTTTATGTTACCAAACAGTCCAAAAAACACTCAATTCAGGGGCAAAATAATTATTTTAGCATTAGAAGAGCTTCAGCAAATGATTTGCCAAACATACATTAAAAACTCTTCTAGCTTAAAAGCTCTTCTAAAATATACTTCCCAATCAGTGATAGATAAGCTAAATAGAAGTGATAGTTTTTGCTTCTCTTTTTCTTCTGCTTAAAAGCAGAAGCAAAAGCTATGCCAAACGAGCACTAAGAAACATTAACGCTTCAGAAATATCTTCTACAAATTCTGTTACATCAAATAAATTTTCTATTTTTTCTTTTGTCATAGGTAATTCGGTAATAGGTAAAGTATTGATATAAATAATTACTCCTTTTTCTTTCTGAGGAATACAAAGAGAGTTGGATGGAATAAAAGTTCCTTTTTTAAAAAACTGTAATTCGGTAGGAGTATACATGAATCCTCCGATGAGTGAGTTTATAAAATTTAACTCTAAAATAAAATCGTAAGTACTAGGACTATTATTAACTACATAGGTTTGTAGTAAAACAAATTTCTCATTATTAATTATTATAGGAACATTCTGGACACAATAAGTTATTGGCAGTTTTTCATTATTATATTTACTAATATTAACATTATAATTTAATTTTATTAATGCTTCATCTGGTACTAAAATGTCTTTTTATTATACTTTTAGAAGTTCCAGTATCTAACATAGCTGAAGTTTGGACTAATTTCTCTTTAAATTCCAATGTTACAGGAAATTGGATTAGACTAGATGGTTTATATATTGAATTTATGGATTCAACTAATGTATTTTGTAACTTATTTTCATATTTATTATAACAGTCGAGACATAATAGGTTTTTACAATGGTCTTTACAATAATATCCTTCTTTAATAGAAGAGCTATATTGTTTACAGTTGTAATATGAGAAATGAAATTTAACTAACTCATAATGACATGAAGAATTGCATATAGTGCAAATATAATCTTCCATAGAATGAAGTCCTTGTTCAAAATTTTTATCAACTTCACTATCAATACTTTCTATACTATATATGTTTTCATTATCGTCATCGGAATCATAAAAGCTTTCTAATTATAATTCATATAATTCCTCTATCTGTTCCTCAATATCTTCAAGTATATTAATTTTTTCTTGTATTTGTTTAATAGGGTTTTGCTTATATCTATAAGGGCAAGTATATTGACCTGGATCTCCACAAATAAAATATTTGCAACTTTGTTCTTTTGTGGGCAATGTAGTCACTTTGCTATCTTTATTATCCTTATTATCATTTTTATCTTTAATTATTTTTCATTTTTTATACCAAGGGCGCTTCTTAAATGGTTTGGGGTGGCTTTTAAAATTCTTGAAATATGGTTTTTTATTGTAGTTTTTTTAAGTTCTACTTTTCGTAATTTATATTTTCTTGGTTTATTTTTTTTGAAAGTTTTTTGTGGCATACAACCATATTGGGGCGGAAAGTCTAATCATTTACATACATCAGAAAATTGTTTCTTGATTTGTTTAGACTCTCTACGTTGTCTGCACTCCTTTTTTAACATGTCATAGACATGGTTAACTCTATCTCCTATAGTTAATCTATCCCTTCGAGGATTCTAACCATTTTTCCCAAATCTTAGTTCCTACACTTTCTGGTAGTTTCTGAAGATATCTATATGATAAAGTTCGGTCTCTGGTTTTTCCTGTAGCAGCAAAATATTCAAAAAACTTATTAGTGTAATCTTTTATATATCGAAAATCACAAATTTGTAATAATTTTATATTACGTAAAGCTTCATTTTGCTTTATTTGGGTTTCTTCTAATAATCGGTCTTCACCTAGTAATACTTGTTTGATTAAACTAGCAAACTGTTGAATTGTTAAATTATTTTTTAAGATGTTGTAATCATTAACATAATGAACTTTATAAGATTGCCACCAGTTTTGAATTGCGCCTCTTAATAGAGTTTCACAATAAGTTAATGCTTGTGTTCTATTATCAAACCGGGTTAGAATAGCTGTTCTAATACAGTCTTGTTCCCAATCGTCGATTACTCTTGACCAATCTTGGGGATTGTGTCATGATATGTCTAAAATGGTTCCTGTATCATGTGCTGGAGTATTATCATAGCGTCTACGCTGTGATGTCCACGTGTACATGTCTGGAATGTTTCTATTTTATACATATGTTTCTTGTGTAGGTTGCAGTCTTTATCCCGTGAGATATTCATCATTTGTATTATTGGTACTACTAGTTGCATTATGCATTTCTTGATCTACAGATCCTATAGGTTGGGATGTAGATCCTTCTGGTTGTTTACCTTCTTAATGCTCTACTTGTTCTTTATTTATATTTAATTCTTCTTTTAGTGTGTTTAGTTCATGTTTCATGTAGAAGGATTCAAAACCTACTTTAAATATATTTTTCTTAATATCATGATAATTTCCTTCACCTAGATAGATGCTTTCTATGAGTTGGTAATTTGGCTTAGGATATTTCTCTTTCAAATCTTCTAATTCAAGATTGTCAAAGTTATGCATTATTTTATCTAAGATTTCATCTTCTAATCTATCATAAATTACATTTATTTCTCCAGGAGATTCAATTTCTATGAGTGTGGTTAAAAATTCTTCTTGGATATCATCGTCTAAATTATCTTGTCTTTTATAATTACTAAATCGTATACTAGCTTCTCCACTATTTTTGACATATATCATATTACTTTCAGGAATCTTTTTAGTTGTAGTAGTAAGATTTGGTAATTTTCATTCTGTTCCTTCATGGGTAATACTATTTACTTTTCTAACTTCTATTATCTGGACATAGTTGCTACTAAAAGGATTAACTATTTCACTAAATTGTGCTTTAAATTTTAAGTTATATTAATTAACCGCTTTTCCCATAAATAAAGTATTGATTAAGAGATTTTCAAATTGTCCTGTCATATTATATCCTTTTGTAGATATAGCAATTTTTATATGTTTACTGAATTCTCTAGTAGTCATCGCAAAATTGGGGGTACATCCTACTATGGTGGCGTTATCTGCTAAATCTATTTCAGCGCTAACTATTTGAGCTTGTTGATGGTTATTCCATCGATCATCATAAATATAAACAAGTGCTCTAGTTCCTATTTCAGCTCTAGTTAATCCTACTAACCCTATCATTATGACTCCTAAGTGCATAAGTTCTATATGATAATTATTTAATTCTTGACAGGCTTTGGGTGTTATAATGTCTAAAATAACGTGATTGTTAAGTACACTTATTCTTCGTTGGCTAAAATGATTATATATCTTGTTTTGAGAATCTAGTAAATTATTAGAATAAAGAGTATCTTTATTTTTTACCTTCTTTATTCTTTGTTCTATATATTTTTTAGCATCATATTCATTGTCATATAAATCTTCTACTCTCATTATTTCTTTGGCTTTTCTAAGAATAATGGCCATTGTGGTATTTGCTTACGAGGGTGTAATAAATTTACACGCTTGGTTGTTGCAGGAAAGGACTAATTATTTGTTGACAACTTTATATCATTTATTTTATCTAATAATTCAGATAATTCTTTAAAAGATTCTCTGGAAATACTTTCTTGTATTACTTCTAATTTTTCCTCAAGTTTATTGACTTTTTTTTCAGATAACTGGAGTAATAACTGAATTAAAAAATTATTTTGTCTAATATGTATATTAGTTGATTGCACGTCTGTTTTAAAGCTTGTAAATCCTACGAATTCCTTATCAATTTTATAAAGTTCAGCTAAAGCGGTTAGATAATTAAGATTACTAGTGCTCATAAAACTATTGTAATAACTTTTGAATATTGGTTTTAAGAGATTTTAAATAATCTATAATAATTTTTTGATTTTCAGAAATATTTTTAATATTGTTATTTATATCTTTAATGGCGACTAATATTATTTTATTATCTAAATTATTTGGGTTAGAATTCTGTACTACTTATTCTTTAATATAATCAAGATTTTCTCCTAGTCGTTTTATAGAGTTATCTAAATTATTAAAGTCTATTCTATTCATAAACTAAAATCGTTACCGTTTAACTTCTAAAATATTTTGTATTAATATAATTCTAGATCTAAATTCTTTTATTCTTCATTGTAGGTTGCGTGTTGTGTCTCCTAATTCTAGTGCGATGTAGCAGTTCCTAAGCGCTGTTTAACAAAATTCTAGAACTTGCACAAGTTGTTCTTTAGGTAAATTGTGTATAAAATAAAATTTAGGGGTGAAAATATAATTCTAACTTACTAGAGGGTTCAAATAAAATGCATTGATTAATAGTTCATGTTAGGGTAAGTATGCAAACTACGTTCATGTATGGATAATATACCTTTGCTACTACCACTTATATATAAAATTTTCAAATATTTATTTTAGTAGGTGCATTTACTATTCAACCATAATTGATCTGTGTGTTATCAGGAATACTTCAAATGTGGCATGCCACGTCACTATCATCAACTAGCCCTGTTATAAATGAATAACAATAACAAGTCACTTTGAATATCTCAATCATGACTCGGACTTAGAAAATTATGTCAGAGCAGTCAGACTTATGTAGTGATCTTTTTGTAATTTCAGTGAGAATTATGCCTCCGAGCTCACAATAATATTGTTCCTATTCCTGGACTATGTCCTTATTTTTAGAAAGAGAGTAAGTGTTTTGTCAAAAAGTATTGTGAGATATAGTCAAGGATGGATATGAAGATTTATTCAGAATTATTTTTTGTTAACACATGTTACTTAATATGTGTGTGTGTATATATATATATGGACCAATTAGTGAAAATATCAACATCTCCATTTAATGAAATTGTGGTCCAATTGTTTTAAATTGAATTCATTGTAATATTCTCTCCAACTCAATAAGGAAGGGTGCTTTGGTCTGTCCCAATCATCTTAATGAGATGGACCTATGGAGTTATATTATCACCATTGAATACTAACATTTTGCTGCCAAAAAAAAAAAAATAAATAAATTAAATTATTGAAAAGGGACATTTAACCACACAAGAAGGGTAGGCATATATATATATCTCGGAAAATAGGTAGGCATTTCTTTTTCACACCCATAAACCTTCCAATCAATATTGATTTATTAAAATTCGAATCTTTAGAATAATGGAATATAACACCGTGACCATTTAGCTGATCATTTAAATTATGGTACTTGATCTAATTTTTCTTTCAACTTTGAAGAATAAGCAAAAGCATGACCAGCATTTCAATGACCATTAAGAAAATGCATGACTGAAATTACATCTATATACCTTTTTACCACCACTAATAATTGAGCCCCCAAGTGCACACATCAGTACATCACGTTGAAATGTTGATGACCAACAGTTAACCTACGTTCGCTAATCACGTACTAACACGTATAATTGTGTAGATTAATACTACTCTGACAAAATTAGGCCATATGAAATTTCCATCGATATTGTCGATCCCATCTCCTATGAAAATTTTTGGGTGATTTGAGCAAATATCAAATCAGGTAGTTCTCAAATCAGGTACTGATATATATATATATATATGTACAGTACTTGAACGAGAGGCTAAAACATGAGCAACACAATTCCCTTAGCGGTGGGGTGGGCTAAAACGTTATACTTCAGGGAGGTGTGGTTTGAATGTGATGCCAAAATTGTGGTCGAGGCTCTTCATGATACTTCAAATATTCCAAGTGGAGATTTCATCAATTTTGTGTGATATCAAACGTGATTTGGATGCTTTCTTTTGATATTTATGAGTATTGCTGGATATTATGAAATTTGTTTTTTGAAAATTTATCACAAAAATTGGAATTAATCTCATTTCAACTTAATTATCACACCTCATAAAATTTGTAGATTGATAGAATATTTACTCTCTCCCATCCTTAATTAAATGTTCACATTTTCATTTTTGAATATCCTATTTAAAAACTTAAAGTACTATTTTTTTTTATAATATTATCAATTTAACCTTCTTACATCTAACTTATAAAAATTAAACCATTAATATATCTTGTATATCCACAATAAATATATTTGATAATTCATTCACTACTAATATAATAAAAAAATATTAAAACTCATCATCTTAAACTGAAAGATTCTCAAAAAGAGACGTTTACTTTAATTTAAACTTAAAATAATATAAATTAAGATTAAGTCAAATTTCATTTGATTCAAGGGATTCAAATCCTAGGTGGTTCACTATATTCCATGACAATTTAAGTACATAGATGAAATGGTCAATCACTTTAAATTAATGTATTATCGAAAGATAAACTTAAATTGTGTCTTTAAAAAACTTTTATAACATGTATAATATAGTAGTGCAGAGTAATAATAATAATAAATTCGACCATGAGTACCATTTTCCATATCAAAATTAAGAAAGAGCCAAAAAAAAATATATAGAAACGATGAGGAAGGTGCACCATATTTGAAAGATAAACTTAAATTGTGTATTATTAAAAACATTTATAACATGTATAATACTAAAAATAATAGTAATAAAATCCACCATGAGTACCATTTTCCATATGAAAAATTAAAAGAAAGAGCCAAAATGTAGAAACAAAGAGGAAGGTGCGCCATATTAGAACCGTGTGAGAGTAATTTTCTCATTGGCTCATAATTTGAATAGTCAACTCTTTAACCAGTCAGTCAGTCGTGTTGTGCGAACTCGTTTTGTTTTTCCAAAAAGCGCCCATCTTTGATTAATTCTTTTTTTTTTTTTTAAATTCCACAGAACTTTCTCTACTACAACGTCTATATATCTCATCGCCTATCGTTACAACAACAACCCAACACCTACTTTCTCATTGTCATAGCATAACATAGCAACCACAACTCTCTCTCTCTCTCTAAATTTCTGAAAAAAAAAAACTCTGATCTCTCTCTCCATGGATCCTGCTGTTAATGTGCCTAGATGGACACCAAGTCCTAGCCCAACAAGAACCCTTTTAAAGGAGCCCATAAGAAGTGACAGTGTTGAGAGTATTGACACAGAAAGCTTGGCTTCAGAGGAAGCAGACATGTCATTTGACAGCGGAGTTACAAGCTTCCCATTCAGCAGCACTCCCCATTCTAGTACTACCAGTCCTCCGCCACATCATCAATATGTTGGTCCTAATACTAATAATGGCCGATCCACTAGTCCTCCACCGCCTGTAGTACTACCCCGTCCTCGTTTTGTTCCTAACACTAGTGCTTCTACTAGTCCGCCACCGGTTGTAGTCACCCATTTCGAAGCGCCGTCTCTGAGGGTTGATGATTCCGATATCAAACGGCCGCTGGAGGTGGAACAACGCGTCACGGTGGCGCCGGTTAGGAGGGCGGAAGAGAAAGTGATTAGGTTTGATGATGTTCCTTTGAAATTTTCAAGGGGTAGTGGTGTTTACATGACATGGACGGATTTGTGGGTGACGGTGCCGGACAAGAAAGGCAGTCGCCGCCCTATCTTGCAGGGGCTTACCGGGTACGTGGAACCCGGTGAGGCTTTGGCCATCATGGGACCTTCTGGTTGTGGCAAGTCTACCCTTCTTGATACATTGGCAGGTAATATTCTCAGCTTCTAGGCTGATCATTTATGTTCACATTTTAATTGCGTGTTTCTGTTTTTCGTTATTAGATTTTTTTCATGTATGAAATGAAAAACTAGTATTTAAGTTTTTTTTTTTTATTTAAAAAAACGGTTTTTTTTTTGGTAAATAAAAAAAAATGATTTTTCATTTGATATATATTAATAGAAATATATAAAAAATTAAAGTCTCGTGGTCAGTCGTTAATCCTAATTTAATAGATTAAATGCTAATACAACTGGGTAATTGAAATACTAGCATGTAATCAGACTATCAAGACTTAAACGAGTTGACTTTTATTCCAAACAATAGAACTAAATTAGGAGTTGTTAATTATATATATATATATAGAGAGAGAGAGAGAGAGAGAGAGAGAGTATATGCTTGTTTTAACTGCCTAAAAAATGAATAAACAAACAATTAAACAAAGAAAATAAATTGTTTGAATACACAACATCTTTATCATTTATCAAGACACAAATAACTAATTAACTCTTATTAATCAATTCATCAATGGAATAAAATTAGCGTCACCTAATGACGGTGGCCTAGTTGGGACTTGTTTAATGTTATTGTGACATTAATACCCCGAGAAAAATTAATAATCAACCCAGTAATTTATCTAATGTGGACTAAGCTTCCTGAATTGATGCTTTGAATAATAATAGTTTATAAATCAAGATATATTTTAAATATTTTACTTTATTCTTAACCGCTTACCTAACAGTGAAATGAAAACAATGTTTTTGTTTGTTTTCCTTGTAACTAGTATTCCATACGGTAACGCAAATATATATATATATATATATATATATTTGACTTTGACTTCCACTTGACATAAAATTAAGGATCAATGGCATGTGTACAAAGAAATTAATATTCTCTATATATCTCTCAAGTCTTGAATGCGGCTGTCTATCTTGACATTAGCACAATCTAACATATACTCGAATCATGACGTGTTTTGAGTATACAAATAATCTTTAATCAATCATTGACTTTTTTTCAGGGAGATTAGGTTCCAATATGAGGCAGACTGGAGAAATCTTGATCAACGGTCGTAAACAATCGCTTGCCTTTGGCACTTCGGTAAGAAAAAATTGAAAATTACACTTGGACCCTAGCTAAATCCACTGTGTGTGTGTATATATATAATATATATATAATAATTGTAGAAGAGTTGGAATTCTATAGGTCACTGAAATCACATATTTTTGTGTGAACCATCTCAATCGTTCATTATCGTACAACATTTATATTAATTATATAACTTAAAATCTGACCCACGGTAGAAAGACTTTAAATTTATTATATGCATACCCAAAACAAGTATACATTTATTTCAAATGAAAATACTTGAGGGGACTCCTAACTTGGAAAAAAATGATTAGGCATGTGAGCTTATTTTGGCATTTTTTGCAGCTCATTTCTTTGATTTTTTTTTTTTTTATTATTTAAAAAAATGAATGTTGTAGTGATTTATGTAATACAGGATCACCAAGAATAATTCATGTCTATAAAAATGATTTTTATAATCTTATATATCTCTAGATTGAAAGTGATTTTTTATTTTTTTTTAATAATCATTCTTTTTCAGTTTGTGGCTCAATTCTATTAATAATTTAATATGTTAATTATTTTTGTTCCTTGATTTTACATGCTCAATGACTGTTCACTTTATGACCACAATTATTTTCATTTTCTAACCAATAAATTATTTATTTTATTTATTTAGGCCTATGTGACACAAGATGATACATTAATGACGACATTAACAGTAAAAGAAGCAGTGTATTACTCAGCTCAGCTTCAACTTCCAGACACCATGTCAAGATCAGAGAAGAAGGAAAGAGCAGAGGCCACAATAAGAGACATGGGCCTGCAAGATTCCATGAACACAAGAATTGGAGGGTGGACGAAAAAGGGTCTGAGTGGTGGACAAAAGCGAAGAGTCAGCATTTGCATTGAAATCTTGACCCGCCCAAAGCTCCTCTTCCTGGATGAGCCCACCAGTGGGCTAGACAGTGCAGCCTCTTTCCACGTCATGAACCGTATTATCAAACTTGCCAAACAAGACGGAAGGACAGTCATTGCTTCTATCCATCAGCCTAGCAGTGAAGTCTTTGAACTCTTCCACAATCTCTGCCTTCTCTCCTCTGGCAGGACTGTCTATTTTGGTTCCACTTCAGCAGCAAATGAGGTAATTATTACTAATCCGAGAGTCCAGAACCTTTGCAGTACCGCAATGAAATGCTCACAAGTTATGACGTGGCATGCTTGTGGGCCTTCCGATGCAGTACAGCACTGCATCAGATAACCTAATTAACATGACTAATTGAAACTTTATGCGATCACTCATAACCCAACTCGACTGACAAACTTAACTCGAATTCAAAAGAACTAACTCGGGTTAGAATTGTCGAGTTGGACTTGGGATTGAATTAATGGTTTTATACCAATCTATTCGAGTAACCTAGATGGTTGTCAAAAAAAATCTAATTTTAGTGAAGATTTTATTGAATTATTTTTTTGTGATTTTGGTGCAGTTTTTTGCTATAAATGGCTTCCCATGTCCATCTATGAGGAATCCATCTGATCACTACCTCAGAACAGTCAACAAGGACTTTGATGCTGTAAGCACTTATTTCATCATCACTCTTTGTTATTGATAAATCATTAAATTACTTGCTCTTGATAGATTTGTGAAATTAATTGTTGCCATTTTAATTATCTTAGGACATTGAACAAGGATTTGGCGGGAAAACAAGCACAGTGGAAGCTATAAACATTCTTGTCAAGTCATACAAGTTATCAGAAGCTTGCCAGCAAGTTCAACACCGAGTACACCAGATATGCCAACAGGTAACTAATCAAGTCATTAAAGTTATTTGCAATCTTAACATAGAATTTAGAATAATATATCTAAATGTCCCATGTACGCGAAATGAAGTTACTGAAACAGCTTTTTGATTCATCTGTAGAATGGAGGAACATTGGAGAAGAAGGGAAGCCAAGCCGGCTTCATCAATCAATGCCTTGTTCTTACTAGGAGATCTTTCGTGAATATGTATCGCGATCTTGGCTATTATTGGCTTCGTCTTGCAATTTACATGGCCTTGTGCTTGTGTGTGGGGACTATTTTCTATGACATTGGATCAACTTATGGTTCAATTCAGGTAACTTTGAATACTATATGACTAAACCAGTATAATATGATTGTTTTATATATATCAGCTATATATATATATATATATAACTAAACACACATTTCACATGTAAATTTACAGGCTAGAGGCTCAATGCTCATGTTTGTTGGAGCATTCTTGACTTTTATGGCCATTGGTGGATTTCCTTCTTTTGTGGAGGACATGAAGGTATACTCTATAAGCAACCATAATTAATTTTGCTATAATTACAACTTTGTGTAAACTGTGTCTGATACATGTGTGTTTCTTATGATTGAAAATCAGATTTTTACGCGGGAAAGATTAAATGGGCACTATGGAGTGGTTCCATTTGTTGTGGGGAACACATTTTCTTCCATTCCTTATTTGCTATTGATCTCCGTGGTACCTGGAGCAATGGCTTATTACCTTGTTGGGCTTCAAAAGGGAATTGACCATTTTATCTTCTTTGCTCTGCTGCTCTTCGGCTGCATGATGCTGGTCGAAAGCCTCATGATGATCGTGGCTAGTATCGTGCCAGATTTTCTCATGGGCATCATCACCGGGGCAGGAATCCAAGGCGTGATGATGTTGAATGGAGGCTTTTTCCGACTGCCAGATGATCTCCCCAAGCCATTCTGGAGGTACCCAATGTACTACGTCGCCTTCCACAAGTACGCGAATCAAGGGTTCTACAAGAATGAGTTCATAGGACTGTCATTCCCTAACGAGCACATAGGAGGGCCATCCACCATTACAGGGGACCAAATATTGAGAAACGTTTGGCAAGTCGAGATGGGTTACTCTAAGTGGGTAGATTTTGCCATATTGATAGGAATGGTCCTCCTTTATAGGTTCATGTTTGTGGCAATTTTGAAGACTGTTGAGAAGGTTAAGCCAATGATCAGAGCTCTTATGACCCCTTCTCCTAAGAACTCAACTCACATGGAAGATCCCACTTCATCACCTTGACATGAATCAAGAATCAAGAATGCCTTTCCAATTAATTTTTTTTGTAAGTTTGCAGTGTAAAGTGTTACTTCCAAGTGTAACCAAGGTCCATTTTTTTTTTTTTTGGTTCAAGTGTAACCAAGGTTGGTGATGAAGACCAATGACTTGTTGGTCTACTGGTGTGAGATATATGGAATTGTTTGTGAAATAATTAGGAGTGATTAGAGTTCCAGAATGAAAAGTATTTGATGTTGAGTTTCAATTTCTTCGACTATATGGTTAAGTGAAAATGAATCCTTTTTTTTCATTATATTCCCTCAATGAACTTTATCAATATATTCCCTAGGTTTTTCCCTCAAGAGATGCCACAAGTTCAACAGCATTACAATTTCCTTGTAATAGACAAATTTTCACTTCAAATTTCAACCTTGACCACTGTCTAATAATTCCAAAGAGTCTTTCTAATGCATTTTACATTCTCATGGCAAGTAAACTCGTACTTGTTTTTTAAAACTGGAGATTCTAGTTTTCAGAGAGGTGGAGAACATATCACTCAAGTCAAGACTTTATTGATGGAGTTTTATTGTTTGAGCTAAAATCTGCTCAAATTGATACTCACAAATAGTCGAGAACATACCACACCAGTATGTGAATATTAGTTTAGATGGATTCCAACGTAAAGTGTTTTCTTTATTAGAGGAATGTAAAATGATAGTGAAGGGTTTTTTCGGCCTACTCGTGATTTCATTGTGTAAACAAATAATTCTTGCGAACCCATTATCCAATTTAAAAGGCCTGTTAGGCTTGTCGCTTAGAAAACAATTCTCAATAATTTTTTTAAAAAAAAAGTTATTTTCAAATAATTATAAAAAAAGAGTTATTTGAAAACATTTTTTTTGCTATATTTTTTGTAATTGAGTTTTTCATAAAATTGAAGTTTTTGTACAATGTTCTGATTTTCAGTCTGAAAATAAAAAATTATTTTTCGAGTGACAAATCAAGCAGGGATGGAGTTCTCACCATGGGGAAGTACTTGTTCAAAAACTTTTGTTGCAATTCAGCCCATATAGTGATGGAGTCTGCTGGCATTGAATTAGACCAATCCTTCGCCTTATCCTTCAATGAAAAGGAGAAAAGGTGCAGCTTGAGCACATCATCATCAAAACTCTGGATCTTTATTGTTCTGCACACCTCTGCAAAGTCATCCAAGTGCCGGTATGGATCCTCTTTTGATAGGTCATAAAAAGAAGGTAGTAACTGAAGAATACTGGCCTTAATTTCGTAGTGAGGGGCCCTCACTTAAGGATACCAAACTGCAGATGATCGAAGAGTTGTATGCACCTGGTTCGTAGTGATCCTTTAAATAGTGAACTGCTTCCGCAGCTGGTGGATCATCCACCATATTTTTCCTTTTTAAGGCCTCCAAAATCTTTCTCCAAGTTTCTGAGAGTTCTTTCGATTTCTGGGTCTAACGGAAGTTGAGGGAGTGACAAAGAACGTCTTCCACCTGAAATTGTGAATAGAATGAAATAAAATAAAATAAAACAGTATCAAAATAAATAATTAATTAATTAATTAAATAAAATTAAAATCCTAAACTTAGATCCTAGTTGAAATTAATTGTAGAATTTAATATTATCTGTCAAGAACTAAAATAAGTCCCCAGCAATGGTGCCAAAAACTTGTTGTGAGATTTATATGTACCACTCGCAAGTGTACGAATCTTTGCAGATAGGGTTTACTTGTAAGGGTGTCGTACCCAATGGACTTGTGTAAAATAAGTTTGCCAACAGATTTCTTAAATTCTAAATTAACTTGAAAGTAGGATAATCGAATTGTGATGATTAATTCTAAATTAACTAAGTCGAAAAAAAATAAAATAAACTAAAGAACAATGATTAAATAGGATATAGAAAATATAGAGAGAGATTTAGGGGAATAACTTCACCACCAACGTTGCACCACCAGTTACTTGTATCAATTTATTGGAGTTATTTCATATAACATGCACAGGGAATTAATCATGGTTACAAACACATATTAATTCAGTTAGAAAATAATATAATTTACAGCTAAGTACGGACTACCTTCGATTGGTATAAACCATCTACCTATCTACTTTACTCTAGGGTATAGCATGGTCAATCTTTTCTAGGCATAATCCATCAAATCTCTAACATTATATTCAGATAAATACCATTGTGTAATCATCTCATTCACAATTACAAGAAGTGAATGAGTTATGTTCAATCATAAGATTAAAATATCTAAGACAAGATAGAAAAATATTTGTAATTGAATTGAAACTTTAAAACCGATTCTTATTGAAAATTCAATTAAAAACCCTATAGATTACACAATCATGCATGATAAAAATTGTTCTCCAATAATTAAATACAATCAAACCAGTGTGCTAAGTTAGGGCTACATCACAACCCTAGCAAAGTGTTTAACTAAGCATGACTGGGGTGGAATTCATCATGGTTGAGGAAGACATCTTCACCGCCATGGATCGATCTCTTCTTTCTTCTGAATGCTCCTCTCTGATTTTAGCCTCAAGCTCCTCTGTATGATGATTTAATGCTGTAGATGACTCCCTTTAAATAATAAAAGATCACCCTAAAGTTCCCTTTTCCATATAGAAGACATACATAGAAATTCTGTCAAATAAGGACTCCAAAATTCGTACAGACTTCTAGCCTAATTTTGACAAGGTAAATAGCTGTTTTAGGGAATCCTTGTGAAATAAAAAATTGTAACTCTTCAAATTTCTTTTCAATTATTGCGGGAATTTAGCTGTTTTAACCCTCGAGGAGAGAGATACAGCCAGATTACCAAAACGGGTTCAAGTTACCAACTTTGGCGAAAGCTTCCTTTTTGGAGAAAGATTTTTCCTTTTCTTCTTTCCATTCTCATCAACTTGTGGCTTCTTTTGGACTATTTTCTAAATATAATTAGACTTGAATCTTCAACATTGCTCGGTCCCACGGAATGTCATCTTTTAAAGCTCAGAATCACCGGTCTTGGCTAATTTTACAATTAAAGCCCTGAAATAAATAGAAACAATAAAACAATGTAAAATCACAAATAAACTATTATTAAGAGAATAAAACATGCAAGTAAATGGGTTAAAATGTATAGCATTCAGCGCTTAACACACCCCCAAACTTACATATTGCTAGTCTCATAGCAATAAAATTAAAGAAAACATAAATGCCACTTTCGTGAGAATCACTATTGCATTTAGCGTATGCAACAAGTATTTTAAACCCCTAGGTTACCCTTAGTGGACGAGTGAAGTCTCGTGCGGGTTTTCAGAGATGATACCCACAAACATACAACACAATTCAATCATTTGGCAATCAACTTATTCTTATATCATCACAATAATCAAGGGGAAAACTACAAAAAAGTACTTTAAAATTTGTCATCTGGCTATACTCCTTTGTCCCTAATTTCATACTTCATCCCAATATTTCCCACACACTTATATAACAAGAAAAATAGCAAAATCATTCCCCAATGTTGTGAAATTTGTGAACTAGCAAGTTACCTATATAGTAATGTCTTTTCAATTGAACCCAACTTCTATAACTTCAATTCCTTAAATCCCTTCTCAAGTTTTTTTCTATAGCAAAATATTATTTTTTTTTTTTTTTTTTTTAGCCCCACTTCTTCATGCGACACTCTATGCATATGAGACATGAGTCCCGATTACTCTATGAAAAGGTTGCGAATATATATATATATATATATTTATACCATAGTAATAACCTTCAAAGTTCACCAATTCATATACATCCATAGTCATCCGAATTCAACAAAAAATACAAATACACATAGATAAAATTCTAGTGTGTATGTGAAATCTATCAGGGACCGACAATTACTAAAATTCCTATCATACTAGATAGTGGAACCCACGTAAAATAAAGCATGAAATTAAATTAGGGATTCAAGACGATCTCATAAAAGAATTTTAAAAAAAGTACTTAAGTGTCTTATTCCTCCCAACAATTCTCAAATACTTGAATTAAAGTCAATATGCCAAAGAAAAAGAATTGATTTTTTTTTTTTTAACAACTAGAGTAGACTCTATGCCCCTAAACTTGAATTGGACAGTGTCCTCACTGGGAAAAAATCAAAAGCAAGAAAAATAATAACTAAAAAGAAAATAAAAACAAAGAACGAAAGCACTTAACAGGATAGCTAAAATGGAGGCAGTGGAGCATCGGGATCATCCCTATGACTATTTGGTGGGTCACTTCACCCACCAAATAGTCATAGGGATGATCATCAACGTCATCCTCGTCATCACTGGCTGCCTCTGTCATAGGCTCATCATGGGGTTCATCAGCAGACTCATCTTCTACGACCTGTCTAGTAGCCAATTGACTTAGATAAACAGGCAAGACTTGTTCACCCTCCATAATTTTGCGAGCCGTTTCTCCAGGTGCAGCAACCACCTTTAATTTCATGTGAGATTGGCTACGATTCCATTTAACCTTACCATAGCGATCATTGTGCTTAGAAAAGAACTCATCTGTAGCAATAGTATAGCCCTGAGAAGTTAGCAGTCGAATAACAAAGAGTGGCAAAGGAAACTCCCAATCTTTTTCTTTTTCCGGTGTTTGCTTGATCACCAAATCATAAAATTTTCTAGGCTGCCCATGGATGGCATATAAAGCACGCAGAAAATCTTGATGACGCTCAGATTGATGACTAAGAGGGCACATATTATGCAAAACTATGGCATCGACGAACCATAGGTGTAATGGCAGAGACGATTTGGCAGTAGAATTATATTTGGAGCCTGAGAAACAACTAGTAGCAAGGCAACTAATCATCAATCTAGTGGGAACTTCAGGCATCGGAGGGAAAATTAACTCCAAATCAGCCGGGCATTGATGTGGACATCCCAAAGCCATGGCAATCATCGAAGGAGTAATGCGAATTATAGTACCATCAACAAATGACACTAGTGCTCCCTGTTCTTCTGGATTGGAATGAAGATTTTGGTAAAACACCTTGACTAGTCTGGGATACATGAGTTTACCAGCCGGCTCAAAAAGGCATTCAGCTTGCCGGCGTCGTAAATCTGCAATGGGCAACTGAGTTTCTGGAACGCATGCATTAAGAAATTCGATGTCAAAACCCACTTCATAATTAAGTTTGCGCTCATGCCACCTCTCATCTATGGTATCTCCAAGAGTGGGCCGTCTCGTGGAAGATTGAAGGGAACGGCTTGTGGAAGCACTACCTTGAGTGGTATTTTTCTTTCTTGGAGCCATTGAAAATATAAAAAAAATTCTTTGAGGCCTTTTGTTAAACACTTGGTGGGCAACCCCAATTCTTGCCTTGAATCGTTGATTTCTTCTCTAAATATGGGCAAATAATATGGCAATTAATGGGGATGGAATTTGGATGGGGAATGATAATTTAGGGAGAGAAACAAGGGATATTTATAGATGGTGAGATATGAGGAAGGAAAGTGGGTGAGGTTAAAGTTTTCTAATGTGGGTAGGAAAGGTGGTGGAGAGATAGTTATGAAGATGGATTTGATACGGATTGTATTTAAGGAGTATGGATGGGAGTTTGACAATGGGTGATGGAATGTAGGAATGGATTAATAGGCTGTGAGAGAAAAAAAACTTGATGGGCAGTGAGATAGAAGATGAAAGGGATGAAAACTATAAGTGTAAACTGCTGCACTTGAAGTACTATTTTTTTTAACCGTAACCCGTAAAATAACTCGGGCGACGGTCGCCCATGGGCTGGGCAATTGATCGCCTGGACCTGCTGTCTGATGCCTTTTTGTAGCCATCGGGCGATGGTCGCCGTGAAGCTGATCGATCAATCACCCAGGCCTGAAGCTTCCTCTGTCGCCGAAGTTGCCATAGGCGACTGTCACTCGTAAGCCGAACGAATGTCGGGCGATGGTCGCTGTGAAGCTGGGCGAATGATCGCCCGACGTTGCTACTTTCCGTTGAAATTCAATTGTCGGGCGATTGTTGCCTATGGGCCGGGCGATGGTCGCCCGGGCTTGCTACTAGAATCCTCACCTGGGCGATGGTCGCCCATGGCCTGGGCGATGGTTCGCCCTTGCCTGCTGCTGGTCCGAATTTTTTTTTTTTGGAAGGCAAACTTCAAACAGCCATAACTTTGGCATCGATGGTCCGTTTTGGACGATTTTTTTTTTTTTTTTCATTTTGGGTACTTTTTTCGAGATCTACGCGGTGCAAACTGCGGTGGTTGATGTTTTGACCCAAAAAATGCTCTGTTCTGCTCCAATCAACCTTTTTTTTCTTTGTATATCATGAAAATTTTGTTTTCTTCGAAACAAGCACAACTTGTATCCTACACAAGTAACTAAAAATCATACGAAACACATTAAATCTTCTTAATCTACTAAAACAAAAGATAAAATTAAAGAGAAAAAGAGAAAACAAAAAATACATAAATGAAAAATCCTATCTACAATTCCTACATTTAACATCGGTAGTCGACGTGATACTTGGATGATTAGGTGGAGTAAATGGGATCCGTCAAAGTGACAGATTCAACTCCTTCTGTAGGCACATAATCTTCAATGTACAACTTCAATCTCCGACCATTTACTTGTAGTATTGGGTCAAAAATGGTGATAGCCCCGTGAAGGGTTACCGTTGGAACTTGGTGTAGACCATCCCATCTTGAGCATAATTTCCCTGGAAATAGCTTCAGCTTGGAGTTGAACAACCAGACTTTGATACCTGGCTCGAAAGATTTTCTCACAATATGCTTATCATGAAACGCCTTGGTTCTAGCTTTGTAAATTTTTGCACTTTCATAAGCATCATTGCGAAGTTCTTCTAATTCACTTTGCTGCAACTTCCTCTTTGCCCTAGCTTGACTCATGTCGAAGTTCAATTTTTTCACGGCCCAAAAACCTTTATGCTCCAATTCCACAGGTAAATGACATGTTTTCCCGAAGACCAAGCGATATAGCGACATCCCAGTTGGTGCCTTGAATGCAGTACGATACGCCTATAAAGCATCATTGAGACGCAATGACCAATCCTTTCGATCCGGTTGAACCGTCTTCTCAAGGATATGTTTAATCTCGCGATTTGAAATCTCTACTTGACCGCTTGTCTGAGGGTGGTAAGAAGTAGCTACCTTGTGAGAGATGGAATATTTCTGAAATAAGGCTCGAAGAAATTGATTACAAAAATGCTTTCCACCATCGCTGATTACTGCCCTTGGCATTTCGAACAGACTGAAAATATTGCTTTAAAGAAATTCAACTACCAACTTGTGTGATACCCCTCGGATCCGAGACACGGGTTGATCAGGCCCAGGCCCAAACCCGAGGGATGTCAAACAATTAATATGTAACCGAACACAGAATACAAGATAAAATAAGAATTAAAAATAATAAGCTGAAAGAATGCTAATTGAAAATCCTTAAAATAATATAATTATTTTAAATCCGTTAAATCCAAACCCAATAGGTTTACAACTTGGGAATCCATCCATTGGACCCCTTATTAAAGATTCTCAAACCGGAACCGAAAATAATAAAAATAAAGACTAAAGCTAACACAAAGGAGATTCCTACATAGTCGGAGGAATGAATATCTGTATCTGCTCTGCACGTCCAAGCTCTAACCCTGGAACTGACGAACACCTGAAAAATAAAGAAGTGGGTCAGGCCCACATGCAAGTCCTGATCTACTACAATCCAAACAGTAATCCGATACGCAGATACATCCTAGGAAGATTCAACAATATCTAGAGTAGTCCATATAAATATATAGTACACACTATAGGACGCTCGCTAGTCCAGTAGGTCTGTTTCAGCCTGAATAGAAGGCAACATGCGAATACGCACCCTAAGGTGGGCATGAGTACCTAGACCTACCAGGGAACAACACCTATGTCCAGTTATCCATCCTAGGCGATATACGCTCCCTAACCATGGTTATGAGACTCAAGCTCATACCACGGCACCATATAATATATATATAAAGTCCGTACTCCTCCTAATACATAATACCATCCATCTGTGTAGTGGTCTGATATATGTATAACAAATCCATCCTGAAACCATAGTGGATCATTCAATTCACAATTGATATGACATATGTTAGTGATGGACTTAATCTTTATGATTAATCCATACCTTAATCCAAATTTAGGTAGGGCTTAGTGTCTGAACTAATCCGTACCTAGTATGACACCGTCCCATACCGGTGCATACCATCCTCCAGTTTTTGTAGTTAATAACACCGGAAAATTACTTATTAACCACATCCCAGAATAAACATAAATATAGTTTAGCATGTACACAACCAATTTATGCATCCCATATAAGATTTAGATTTCCTATTACAGTTCTTGATATAAACGAAAAGACTGTACATTTAGCTCATCCAGTTAAACAGTTGATGGCAATAGTATCAAATACTAATCAACCATACTCCAAAATTTGCATAATTACAGTTTAACATGTGTATAACTAAATTATGCATCCAATAACAATTTTAGAATCTCGATTCCAGTCATTTAAATACATGAAATAAAACTGCACATTTAATTCCTCCAAACAGAACCATAATTAATGCAATCAACGGAAAAGGTAATCATCAATTAATTCCAGCTAAATAGATTTTTGTTTCCGGATAAATAACTGTATACTTGTACATAGTTAAGACATGTTTAATGTCTTTAATTTAGACCAAAAAAAAACCCCAATTGTTTCAGAAAATAGTAAGAACAATATACTAGTTTCAATCCTTTAATCCACTGTTTCCCAAACAAGTTTAATGTTGAACCTTATCTTTGTGTATACTTCAACATAATATCATCAACATGCTTCCCAACAGTTTATACATCTCTGGAAAAATTATACAGATCATCCACATTCCCTGAACCAACCTAGAAACCTTCCTACAGGCCAAACCAGACCCAGAACCACGCAAAACCTCAAGAAAAGGGGTTGGAGCCGCCTCCAGAAAGTTGGAGCCGGCTCCCACCTTAGTGGAGCCGCCTCCACTTCATATGGAGCCGGCTCTACCCCATGTAAAGCCGGCTCTACAAGTTCTAGAGCTGGCTCTACCCTTTTGGTGAGCCGGCTCTCCTCTTTTGAGAGTCGCATCCCCTAACCCGTTCGTCTTCTTCGCCTCCGGCGAAGTCCAGAGCCTCTGTAGTATTTTAAACTCCTATTCTGGTGTTTATTTAATGTCCCAGATTTATTTGAAAGCCCCCGACATACAACAATAATCCCAATTAAACCAAGCTTAAACTCAAGAACGGCATGCAACAAATCACAGAAACTTTAAGAACTTACCACAGTTTGGTTCACGAGATTTATTATAGTTTAAACATGCATTCAAGATAAATTTACATATTTATTTAATCCATTTTAATGTTGGTTTAATTCCTGGAGTCTTTCTAAGCATGTACATAACACAGATTAAAGAGATAGAGTGGAACAGAGACTTGCCTTGAGTTTCAGACTTTGAAACTCTAAACCTCCGTCTCTGAATTGTCCGTCAACGTCGTCGACTACTGTCTTACTCCTTCGACGCTCTTGGTTCAACCCAGAAAACACCTCGTCCAACCTTCCTTGAACCTCTCTGTATAATACTCAAGTTCCCTCTCTGTTTCTCTGCTCTCACAACTCTCTGTATCACTGTATACGGGAATAGAGTTTTATGTATTTTTCCTCAAACTCTAAACCCACATAAGGTCATATATATAGGCGTAGTAGTCCAACCCTAATCCTTGTATAATTTGAGCCCTAATGCAACACTTAGTCGGCCCAAGAATAACCTAAGTTATAACCTATGTCGGCTAATACGTGAATATACAGAAAACACAATCCTAATTTAAACCAATTTAATTAAATAAACCCAATTATCAATTAAGTCAAATAAAACATCATAAAACAATTTAATTTAAAACAATTTAATAAAAGAAAACAAAATAATTTAATCAATTAATTCAACTAATCAATTTAATAAAAGAAAACAAAATAATTTAATCAATTAATTCAACTAATCACACATAATCAAATAAAATGCAGTTAAATAATAAAATTTAAAAAAAAAACTCAGGAATATCCTTTTAAACTAGTGGTATTACATTCTTCCCCCCTAACAAAAGGAATTCCGTCCTCGGAATTCGCTCTTACCTTCTTCCAATATTTCAGGAAATTGCAAGCGAATGACATCCTCCCGTTCCCAAGTGGACTCAGCCTCATTGTGATGACTCCACTGCACACGAACCAAAGGGATAACCTTATTGCGAAGGATTTGATCCCGACGGTCAACAATACGACATGGTGGCTCCAAATAAGTTGCATCCGGCTGCAACTCAATCTCCCCAACATCGATATGCTAATACCGATCCTCATCTCGCAGAAATTTCCGCAACATGGACACATGAAATACGTTGTGTACGCGGTCCAAATTATCCGACAGTGCCAACCGATAAGCAACAGCTCCAACTCGATCCGTAATCATGAATGGACCGACAAACCGCGGAGACAACTTCTCTTTCTTCCCAAAGCGCATAACACCCTTCATAGGAGATACTTTGAGAAGAACCTGATCCCCAACCCGAAACTCCAAGGCACGAGTGCGACGATCAGCATAGCTCTTTTGCCTACTTTGAGCAGTACGCATGCGATCTCGAATAAGAGCAATTTTTTCAGAGGTATCCTTGATGAACTCATGACCTAAGAATCGATTCTCTCCAACCTCCATCCAACAAACAGGTGATCGACACGGTCGACCGTATAACGCCTCAAAAGGTGCCATCCCAATAGTCTTCTGGAAACTATTGTTATAAGCAAACTCCACAAGTGGCAAATATTCCTCCCAGTGGCCCTTGAAATCCAGAACACACGACCGAAGTATATCTTCTATAATCTGATTCACCCTCTCAGTCTGTCCGTCAGTCTGAGGATGATAAGCAGTACTAAGGTGTAACTCCGTACCTAAAGCCTGCTGAAAACTATTCCAAAATCCAGATACAAAGCTCGAATCCCTGTCCGATATAATAGACAATGGAATGCCATGTAACTTCACAATCTCTGAAATGTAAAGCCTCGCCAACTGCTCCGAAGTGTAGTCGGTGCAAATAGGCAAGAAATGAGCTGACTTGGTCAACCTATCCACAATGACCCATATGGAATTATGCCCCTTTAAAGAATTTGGCAACCCTTCCACAAAATCCATAGATATGCTCTCCCATTTCCACTCCGGAATTGGTAGTGACTGTAGAGCTCCTGGTGGCCTCTGATGATCAATCTTAACCATCTGACAAGTACTACACTGAGAAACAAAAAGAGCAATGTCCTTCTTCATACCTGCCCACCAAAACTGCCGCTTCATATCTTGATACATCTTATCGCCTCCTAGATGAACAGAGAACTCAGAGTGGTGAGTCTTAGTCATCACATCCTTCCTCAAACCATCAGCAGAAGGTACCACTAACCGTCCCTTGTACCTTAAACCTCCATCAACCCCAACATAGTAGAATGGAACCTCTCCGGAAGCTATCTCTGCGACCTTGTCGACACACTGCTGATCGGTGAGTTGTGCTTGTAAAACCTTGTGAATGATGAAAGGTGTAACCACCATGCAAGCCATAAAAGCATCTGACAACTCATCTACATTCTTCAAAGCCTTCCACTCAGTAGTGAATAGAGCAGAAAGATTACTAACAGGTCGGCGACTGAGTGCATCCGCCACTATATTCGCTTTCCCTGGATGGTACTGTATAGAAAAATGATAGTCTTTTACAAACTCCAACCATCTGCTCTGTCTCATATTCAGCTCCCGCTGAGTGAACAAGTACTGTAGACTCTTGTGATCACTGAATAATCTGAAGGACTCACCCAACAGATAATGCCTCCAAATACGCAAGGCAAAAACTACTGCTGCCAACTCCAAATCATGTGTTGGATAATTAAGCTCATGAGGCTTAAGTTTCCGAGATCCATA